ATACCCAATGAAAAATATTTGAGCTGTCAGTTTTGCAATCAAGTTTGTAGTGGAACAATAAACATGATGAAATATCTTACAGGCACACACAAGGACATTATGTCATGTACTAAAACTCCTACTGAAGTTTAAGAGATGTAATAAAACATTAGAAGAAGCAAAAGTCAAAGCACAACGTGACAGTGTCTTAAATGATATTAGAAGCAGTGCAACAAATATTGGTGAAGTTCAAAATGCTACAAACTAATCATTAGTTGACTCCTCCCAGAGACCACCCTAGAGTTAGAAGTCCAATAGATTCTTTCACCATAACACAAGCAAGGAATTCTACTCAAAATTCTAAGTGAAAAAAAAAATGAATAAAAAGAAGCATGTAGGGCAATTAGTAAATTATGCTACTCAGCCGGATTGACGTTTAATGTTGCTAATGACCCTAATTATATGTCTGTTTGAAGCAGTTGCTAATTTTGGATCTGATTTTACTTCGTCAACATTGCATGAATTGAGCACTTGGATACTCAAAGATGAGGCTGCTACAATCAAAAAGATGTTAGAGGAGCATAAAAATGCATAGAGTAAATATGGTTGCTCGATTATGCCAGACAGTTGGACAATTATGTCAAACAGTTGGACAGATGGAAAATGTCGAACTTTGATTAATTTTCTTGTAAACAGGTCAATTGGGACTTTTTTCTTAAATTTGTGGATACTTCTAATATTATAAAAAATAGTGATTTATTATTCATTTATTTGGACGAAGTGATTGGGGAAGCGGGAGAAAAAAAATGTGATGCAAAATATAACATATAAGGGGTCAATCTATGTGAATGCAGGTAAGAAAATAATGGAGAAAAAATAACATATTTATTGGACACCATGTGTAGCACCTTGTATTGACCTAATGTTAGAAGACATTGAAAAGTTAAAGATTCATGAGTGCACTTGCAAGAGCAAAACATATTGCAAAATTCATTTATGGACACACATGGGTTCCAGGCTTGATGAGATATTTTAAAAAGGAGAGGAAACTTGTTCGTCCAGCAAACACATGGTTTGCTACGGCATATTTGACCCTTCAAATAATTTACAAGCAGAAGACACCACTGCAGGCAATGTTCTCCTCAAGCTTGGTGTTCTAAGCAATGGGCAAAGAAGACAAATGGGTATAAAAGCTCGAGTTGTTATTTGGTGGGTAAGCTTACGAGGAGACTTTGGGGGTAGAGTTGTTATGGATTCAAGAAAGTTGAGATCTCCTGTTGATTGATGGATGAGATTTGGTGGGAAAACACCTAAGTTAACGAATTTTGCAATTCTAGTTGTTAGCCTCACATGCATGTCATCTGGTTGTGAAAGAAATTAGAGCACTTTTGAATCGTTAATAATTTTTTATTTCTTAAAAGTTAAAATTATTATTATTTGCTTTCATAATCACCTCTTAAAAATATTATTTTTTTATCTTAGATTCATACTAAGAAGAGGAACAGGTTGGAGCACAAGAGGTTGAATGCTATGGTATATGTAAGATACAATACTAGATCGAGGGAGAGAAGTATAAGAAGCAAAAAAGACTTTAATCCAATCCTAATAAGTTATATAGACTTTGATAATGAGTGGATTGTTGAATAAAAAAATTTAGTATTCCACAGGAACCTTCTTAAATGAATAAAAAAGAACATGTCTTTGATGCTGATGTAATCAGAAATTTGCACACGACAAGTGCAAATAAAGAATCACAAAACAATACACAAGGAAAGATCTATAACATATTCTCACATGAGAAGGAAGATGAACGAAAGAACAAGTAAGTTTCGTATTTACATTTAATTGTTCTTTATATAAATATACATTCTTAATTTTTTATAGAACAATATCCTAAATATTTATGAATATCATTTTATTTGTGTTTGTAATTTAGAAAACAATTATAATGAAAAACCAATTATGAATGCACCTAAGATTGAGCATGATGATAACTTCAATGAAGTTGACAATGAGTGCAGAGAATATGAAGGACTTAGTTGCGATGGAAAAGAAAATCTGTCTGGTGATAACCATTATGCAAGTTGATCTTGGAGAATGAATTTGTTCCATATAACTGATCAAATAAATCATTCAATCTTGGACTGAGAAACTAGTAACTAACAATGATTTGGTTCGCGGCTTTGTTATCAATAAACATGTGGCACAAACCATCTTTTTTTAGCACAATCAAAGTTCATATTACACATCGATTGGTGCTATCACGAACTAATCCTCAGGCCATCAGATCCTCTACCTACTTTTATAAATCTTCCTACTCTACTGGTTGCATACGATAAGCTGGTCGGTTCACGGCTTTGTTATCAATAAACATGTGGCACAAACCATCTTTTTTTAGCACAATAAAAGTTCATATTACAAATCGATTGGTGCTATCACGAACTAATCCTCAGGCCATCAGATCCTCTACCTACTCTACTGGTTGCATACGATAAGCTGGTCGGTTCAGGAGCACTGAATTTGGGAAGAGATCTATAGCATGTTGAATCTTTCGTAGAGGTGGTAATCTAGGTGGCAACCTGTCAGTCAGAATATTATATGACTCCTCTAATAAAGGTCACACTGCCTATTATATCAATTCATCATCTCGCTACCCTCTAATATCACAAGGCTAATCTCAATAGCACTTCTCTCATGGCTTGTAGAAATAAAATATGAGGCATTCTAGTTTATGCCTCTGTCTTGAGTACTCATTAATGTTGACTCCTTCAATAACAGAATTACAATACACCCGGACCCTGATAAACGAGTATGTGATTTTGTGTCCATCAAGAAATATACTAGTAATATTATCACAAATGGCCTAAAAAAATGTTAAATGCATCAATAGGCATGGCATTATACCACATATGATCCTGTAGCTTATCTCCAATTGAAAATTTTATAAGTCACCTCTTGTCGACACTTATTATTCCTCTTCTTCAACCAAATCAGGGAAAATTGTTGAAAATGTTACTAGATAAAGAGGATTAGTTTATACAACATCTATGTAGATACTACATTCTCACAATTGCATTGATATATAATGAGATTGCTCACCTTCCCTTTCACAGTGCATTGGATACAAAAGATATAATCTAAGACATTATTGATTTATCTTAGGCTCGGTCTGAAGAACTCGTTGAACAACAAATATCTCAACAGCTGCGAGTGACTCGTACTCCTCCAATCTCCACCCCAGAGTGTTTTAATATTTGCTTCTTTTACTGTAACCTATTCAGTAAAAGAAATCACTCTCAGGTTTGGGTAGTTGGATAAAATGTGCCCATATCGATGAAACTTGAAGTACTTCCTGGCTGACAATGTCTTGGGGTTGCTAGTCCGATCGATCCTTTTTTTTGTGTTGGCTTCTCCTCAAGGAGAACAAACTTAGCCCTTTATTCAATGTACTCTTATTGTTTGATCCGATAGTTGAACTCTATTTAAAGACCGGTGTTGATTTAATACTATTGTGCTCTCTCCATCTTCAAAATTAAAGTTTTTTGTGACATTTAATAAGGTTGTAACTGCGCTACGTTACCAGTAACCAATCTTAGTTCTCCAAGATATTGAGCTATGGTACTCTCATCAAGCTCCACTACCTCACATTTCAATATAAACTGCTCACACTCAGCGGTGTTCTCCTATATTAATATATTCTTCTACTGCAAATAGTCTCAAAAAAATATTATTTCTAGTGTGTTGAAAAATACTTGCGTTGGATCACTTTCTTCATCCAAGACCAAGTCGTCATTTTGTTTTTTCCCCTACACTTGCACAAGTGCTTCCATTTCTCTTACACAATGACACATTTTTAATTCAATGGAAGCAGGTTTTACCTTTTTTCTTATGTGAAATATCCTTATACTCAAAGATTCATTTTGTTGTTTGGAATCACTCAATGAACTCATCTAGATCCATATGACTATCAAAATCTGGCAAATTAGCATTCACTCCAAAATCACCCTCTTTCTATACTCAAAGTCGAACTAACGCAACATCAACTCCATCACTGGAATGTGAATCTAAAGTTGGGCGAGGGCGAGGGCGAGGGCGAGGGCGAGGGCGAGGGTTAGGTGGTACGTGTAGAGATTGATTTTTGTTGGAGCTAGGAAGTTTATATTTTGAAGAATTAGGATTAGAGTTAGAAATTGAAATTAGAATTAAACACTAATACCAAGTAACATTATTTTGGAATTTTGAGAATGAGTTAGAAGATCATATTTTGTGTTTTTTTCTTCTTTTTCTTTTTTTTTTTTTGGAGGGGGGTGATGAGAAAAC